CAGATGACTTCATAAGAGATTTGACACCTAGTTAGTTGATTTTAACATTGATCGGCCTTTCGGAAACCGGGCACTAGTAAATAACAAAAATCACATTAGAGTTAAGTTTTGGAAATCAAATAATGGCGTACTATAGGCCGACCGTTTAACTCGCGTATCGCGCAGGCTATACGCGAGTTAAATGGTCGGCCTATAGTTATTATTACCCTCTAATCTAATTCCATCAGATCTTTTAAAATATCATCGTCATTCTTGTAGTAACTGGGACGTCTAGAAGTGCTTGCAGTTTTATTTGTTAAAATTTTCTTTAATTCAGATTTGCTTACTAGGGTATTAGAAAGAATTTTAATCTTTTTTGATTTCTTCTCACAATCTTCAACTTCATCGGTCCTTACAACAGTTTCGTGTCCTACATAATCCAAATCGTCTTCAAAAATTACAGGCATAGTATTTATATTGCAAGGACTGATGTTATACGAATAACTTGCAAGTTCTTTCTTAGGTGTATCTGCTTTTTCAATGATTATATTGTTAATATACGAACAACTTGCGCTTTCTTGATCAGGTGGATCTGTTCCATAGGAACAACTTGGAACTGCTTCATCAAGTTGATTTTCAGGTTTCGGTGGATCGTTTTCTTTGAAATCACTTTCTTTATTGGTTTTTGATTTTTTTCCTTTACCCTTCCCTTTGCCGACTTTGTCTGTTATTTTAATTTCTTTTTGCTTTTTCTTCTTTTCTTTTAGGTCTGAACAAGACACGTATTCTCGGTCAGTCTCAACATAGTCCTCGTCGCTTGAACATAACACACTTTTTCCTGCTTGAACTTGTAACTTTTTCTTTTTTTTTGGTTCAACTATATTACCAGTCCCGTATCGCATATCTTTTAAGAAATTTAATACTGTCTCATCAACAGTTTCGGTTTCTTTAATTTCACCGATCCAATTAGGCAATTTTTTCAAAACTTCAGAAGGATTAAAAGGATATATCCCTGTTTTCCTAAAGCCAGATATAATATTAGCTGGACCATTTTCTTTTAGAGCGTCCATTAGTTTATTTAATAATTTGGGAAAACAACCTTTCGGAATCGATGCTTGATTCCTACCATCAGTTTTTTTCCAGTGTAATATTATGTTTCGCCATGCTATCTTCATTGGCCTAAAGAAAGCAACATCCAGCGGTTGCGTCAAATGTGTGGAGTTGGCTGGTAAAAATATAAAATGTATGTCCTTTTCCTGACATTTTCTTATTAAATCAATCGAAAGGTGGGAGGATAAATTATCGCCTATTAAACATTTTTTACCAGGCCTATTTTCAAAAAACGGTAGAATCATAGAGGTCACCCAATCTTCAAAAATGTTTAAATCAAACCAGCCAGATTGGCTTCTATTAAACCGAGATCCTTTTGGACCAGATTTTGTCCACGTATCGAACAAATTTTGGGCCTTGTAAACTACATATGGGGGTAACATTTCTCCTGCAGCCGTACCGGCCATCATAATTGATATTGCAGCTTTGGAATGATTCATCACCCTTTCTGGATATTTTGTACCTCTTTTGGTGATAATTTTTTTTCGGCCAGGATCGTCCGCCACATTTGTTTCATCGTAATTAATGATATTGCTGGCTGGAACTCCAGCAATCGATATTTTCAATTGTTCAAAATACGCCTCTATAATTTCAGAAGAGACGGCAGCTCGGTTTCTTTTAATATTCTGCGAAACTCGTTCCGATATTTTATCACAATGCCTTTTTAAGAAACTTCTTGAAAAATCCGGCCCAGGCAAATTATCTTTAAATCGTTTTTCAGTAATACCCAATTTATCCAAATAATTTTTGACTAGTATTCTTAAATCATACTGCTCTAGGGGATAGCCCCATTCAGCACAGACATTAATATATTTAATGAATGACAATTCCACCTCTTTTGACAGCACTGTCTGCCCCCCTTGTGATTTTAAATTTTTAATAGTATGCCTATAAAGGACAGACTTGTCAATTTCAAATTTTTTGGCAATGCAAGTTAAGGAATCACTATTTTTGTTGTATTCCCGAACAGCTTCTTCAATAAGTTCTTTAGGGTATTTTTTATACCGCTTACCTCGAGGATCGGGTTTATAAATTCTTGGCATGATGAGTGCAGCGCAATGTTGTGTACCTGTATAAAATAAATATCAAGTATTTACTGAACAATAGACATAAATCACACAAACACACACACACACGCGCGCGCGCACACACACACACACACACACACTCACAGGACACAGGCACACACAGCACACACATCACACACACACACACACATACACACACACACACACTTACACACTTACACACACACTTACACACACACACACACACACACACACACACATACACACACACACACTTACTCATACTCACACACACACCCTCGCGCACACACACACAGCACAGGCTACATTTTATCTGACTTCGGTTTCGTACGTATACATGGTAAACGACACTTTTGCAAACAAGTAACAGGCAAAAACTAGTAATAACATAATTGAACAATTTAAACTATTTTATCGCTTATCGGCAGCCGTATATTAAAAAAGAACCAGATGTCCTTAATTTGAGTTCAAGCTTTGTATCAAATTTCATTAAAATTTGTTCAGCATTTTAGTAAAACGGATAACGGTAACAGATGACAGCCAAAAAAATAAATATTTAAATATAGTTAGCGATTGTCTACTAATTAATATGATTATTTTTTTAAGTGACAGCCGATTGACAACCCTAAAAATCATGTTTCTTTTAACCCCTGTCCCGTTGCTATTAACCCCTCACTCGTATCTATTCACCTCTTTCTGCGTATCTATTCACCCTAAAGGCGTTTCTATTCACCCCTCACTCGTATCCATTCACCTCGAATTCAAGGAAAAGTAATAGCATCCTGATTTTACTTGAAATAAGAAAGATACATTTGAATATTGACACTCATTTTTCTATTCGTAAAAGATAATCAACTTAACTAATGAAACACACAAATTCGCTAGGAGATAAGACTGAAAAACTTACGTTTAATAAAAAGTTTTACGCAGCCTAAAATCACTTGTACGCACACGTTCACTTTAACCGCTTTTTTCTTCATGTCATTACACTTGACGTAAAATTGTGTGTAGCCAGCATAAAGGCAAAATGTTGCCGTGTAATAAATAGTGGAAATAAATATTCTCTGATAGCCCATAGACCCACCAGAGACAACTTAATCAAATTCCCAAGTTTGTTTCTATTCACCCCGCGATTTCTATTCACCCCATTTTACGGTACCTAAAACGTCACGACACGGTCAATAGGAGCAGTGGATGAAACCGCGCTGGGGTTAAAAACTAGTTAATTAGTAATATACATAACTGGTGCGAATTATTTTTTTTTTGTTTTAGTCAGTCCACATTCCATTTATCGATAGAGGGATCGAGGATATAGAGGAAGCCTATCTAATGGGTTTTGTAAATAACATACTAGTTAGACCAATAGGATCAGAGCAGTTGGAAAATCGCACGGAAGTAGCTGTTATAATAGAATTTAGCATGTTTATATTGAAGTACTGAATTAATTAAAAACATCCGTAGTACGTTTGTTATGAATTCCTTTTACTTACAATATTTTTGTAAAAACTACTTATATTCCTTTTATCTCAACTTCGTTCATCTGATATCTCTGCAATATTTGTTTTATGTATCACGCATTGGCAGTCAGCAGTCAGTATGACACGAGTGATGTGGAATAATCACAGTACACATATAGTTACACAGATCAAGACATATCTAGTTTTAGTTAATAACAAGTAAAGGCATGGATAACACACTTGTTTATTCAACACAATGTGGGTACATACCTTGCTATAACTGGGTACCTACATATGCTGCGTGCACGTAACCGTAACGGGAATCTAACTCCCGCGTCACAATACTAAACCCTAGACACAATGAGCTTTGCGGGAGCAACAATCCTTACAGTAATATTTCCGGCCGCGCCTTACCTACATTGCATTGCCATGCCTATTCTTCTTGTTTTATGAACAAATAACAAAAGAAATTAAAAAGATTCACGTTGTACTTTGTGATTTTAGTTACTTAGAGGCATGAGGATTAGTACGTAAGAAAATTTATTACAAAATAAAAACAAAAATAAACATAGTAACAAGCTCGTTTGGACATTTTATTCATGTAAATTTGCAGATATAATTAATACAAATTATGGTCATGTAAATTGGGATCTATGATAAATAATTATACTATCAGCTGGTTTAGAGGACACTGTCTAATACCATCTCCGAATAGCTTCAATCCAGCCATTGTTAAATTTTGATGACTCATCGAAATATAAAAAGGCAGTCTCGGAGGTGTGGCATTACAAATACTGTCTTATTCCTAAGTTTACATAATGAGATTTTTATTGTGATAGTGATAAAACACAAACTTAAACTATGTGAACATTCTACTTCCTGAAAGGCTAACTATGCATGCATGACTTCATTATATTAGTTTCCTCACCTTCTAGGATCTCATATTTAAGTGCAGAGCTATGTCATTATGTCAACTAAATACCTAAAAGATTAATGTGACAAAACCTATATTGTCTACATGTCATACATCACAATTTTTCCTAAACTTATCTGTACACCTCAGTTTGAGTAATTTAAGATGTTTTATAATATTGCCAATTGTTATATATTATGTCCAGATAAAACATGTGGAGCAGCTGATGTATTATATACTCTGCTGCCAAGCATTGCCAGACAAGTGTATTGGAAGTTTAACAACTTGTCTTCATTAAGTAGTCATACACAATTTCTATTTTAAACAATTCAGGATTGCTAACAAAACAATCTAAGATACAAAGTAAATTATTCACAAAGAAATCCATAAATAAACTTTTTTATTAAAATTGTATAAGACTGAAATACTTTGTATGTTGACACTACTGATTTCATGAATGTATGATCATTCATTTCAGAGAGCAATATAATGTTATTTGTCAGACTCGTTTTGTTCAGGTTCAGCCTGTTTTAACCATGGGTGCTGAAGGCACTCATAAGCAGTGGCTCGCCGATTTGGGTCAAAATCAAGCATGGGTTTTAAGAAATCAGCAAAATCCTCTGCATCTTTCTGACTCCATTCATATTTCTCAGTTAACACTGATACTAAGCCCCATGGTTTTAAGCCTGTTATGTTCCTCAACTCACCCTTTTTATTGAAGAATACCTTTGAATATTTTCCTGAAGCGGCAATTCTTTTAGGAATGTCACCTAGTAATTCAATAATGTGAGCAAGGTGGTCTTCATCACGGCTATATCCATCTCCAGAATGCGGCTCAAACAAATAGTCTCCAGTAGCCAGCTCAAAAGCCATACAAGCAGTGCTCCAGATGTCAGCTGAAGTCCCGTAGCCGGCACTTAGCAAAACTTCCAGTGATCTGTACTGCCTGGTTTGTATATCTTCAGTAAAATGTCGGTGGACCCAACAAGCATTACCTAGATCTGCAATCTTTACTTCTAAGTCACAGATATCAAAAGCCGGATCAAATTTCTTATCCAGGGATTTACCTTTAGTAGACTGAGAATTAAAAGATGGTGGAGTATCAGTCATTTCTCCCTCAGACATAGGGGTTCCTGCATCATCTCCACAGCCATATTGCTTAGTCCTTACCTGTACTGCATCTGCATCAGTGTCAAAAGCTTCCTCATCAGCTCTCTCATCATTACAACCATTAATGTTAGTTTCAGTGTCAGAGCGGGTTGTTTCAATCACACTGGCCTCTTCAGGTGTTGGAGGTGAATCGTCATTGTCCTGTGACATGGGTGCAGACTCACTGTTATTGACCACTTTCTTCTGTTCTTCCATTTCCTCAATCTGTTCCATTTGTTTTTTAAGTAACATTGACTGACGCTTAGCTTTCTTCTTTAACTTTTTCTTTTTATTTCTACTCATTTTAGCAGTGACTACCTGTTCTTGAAATTCCTTTGGTGCAGTACTAATCAAGGAGTGAGGCAATCTCAAGCCTAAGGAATGTAATTCAGTAGCTTCAGCTGCCAGTTTACGGATGTAAGATTCATCAACACAAACCAATACATTTTCAGGTTTAATATCTGTATGAATTATCTTACATTTGGTGTGGAGGTAATCCAAGCCTTCAAGAACTTGACGTATGATTGTTTTGACGTTTTCTCGTGGTATACCTCTATAATTAGACTTGAGTATCAACTTCAATAGATGGTGACCCAAAACTTCAAACACCATGCACACATGGGTTCCATTCACACCAGTTATTTTAAAGTCATTAAGCAACTGAACGGTTTTATTCCTCTTGGGATCCGATGGATCGCTGTCCCGAACTGCTTTGAGTATTTTTATTTCGTCTAAAGCAGTTTCCGTAAAATGGGGAGCCGATTTTACGACTTTCAATGCGACGAAACGCTTGTCGACGAGATCCCAACACAACCACACAGTGGAAAAATGACCCCATCCCAGTTTTCTAGTGACGTGGTACCGATTCAGGAACAAGTCTCCAATTTTGACAGGATGGTAACCACCCTTACAATAGTCGGCGCTGTCCTCCTGTTCCTCGTCGTCACTCGCGTATTGCTCGTCCTCATCCTCCTCGATCGTCTCATTGGAAGAACTATGTGTAGGTTCTAAACGATTCTGATTCTGGTTGCGCAGACCGTTTCCTTGTACACCAGCCCCGTGGTCCTCCTCGCGATTTTTCTTTTTACCGAGTTTATGCCGTTTCTTTTTCGCCTGAATGGCGAGCACTCTTCTATTTACATCTGATTTAGAACTCATTTAGTAAATTAAACACTTTCAACAACGCCAATATATATATAAATTTATCTTTTCATCTCAAATCTTTTTGTTTGAGTATGGCGGCCGGTCGCAGAACAAAATGCGCTCGAACATGAACTCAGAATGTTGCTAGTGAAAATAAAATTTAAAACACATCCATAGACCACTCTGACTGAGCATCTGAAATGTTAGTATTAATATTAATAAATATTTTATTTTTATTCCCACAAACAGATTTTTATTAGGTTATTCAATTATCAATATACCACTACACATTGAAAGCAAACGCCCAAGCGTTGCAAAAGCAGGTAGGGAGGGCGCCACTGCTCTGCGCTTGTCTCGTTTTGATGATACTTGATACTCCATTAATTACTTTGATGATCCCTTGGCCCCTTGGCTACGATACTTTTACTTTTTAATATTTGGTCAGAATCCCAGACATTTAATTAACCATCACATCATTCTAAAATAATCGGTATGGGAATCTAAACACATTCAACATCATTATCAACCGCCTATCTATATGTGTCCACTGCTGCGCAAAGGCAAACACGGAAAAAATAATTATGAGCATTAATAACCAATCTACTCTAGGCGAATTGGCGATTTTTAATTTTGATTAGGAATTCATTTCAGGTTCAAGATTTCCTCAAAATCGTTTCCTTATCGTACTTATGTCATGGCATAACATCACGCCTTTTATTTCCGAAGGGATAGGCAGAGGTGCACATTACGGTACTTACTAGTTCCACTGTACAATGTAACACCCATTTTTCACTATTTATGTTATGATTATACTGGGCATGATTCCAGACTCCGTGCTACTACTGAGAATTATTTTTAAAAACCTAATAATAGTTTGCCCGACCATACAAAAGATTTCCGCACCGCGACAAGCACCATATATATACTTACAAGTTTCGAAGCCATACACTGGTAAATGGTAATGAGAAGAGCGCCTCAACCTCTTAGGCCACCACGAAACAAAAGCATACATAATATTGTCCACGGAATATAGAATACAATACAATTGTATTCTATATTCCGTGATATTGTCGGAGGACGGTCGGAAGATCCTCCTTTGATCTTAGAGCACTCTACTCACTGTTTCCTAAACTATTTTCTAATTGTATTTACACATACAGTACCTAGTGCAATTTAATACAAAAGTGCGAAAGTTTATAAAATACAGTAAAACTACCAAGTCAAATAATCATAATTATTATTACGAGTAATCATTACAGAATATCAAGATATGCCTACATGACAAGTTATTTATAAAAAAATATAATATGTTAGTTATATTTCCGCTTTAAGTGCAATTTGCACAGTTATTTGCTATGCAAGTACAAAAATAAGATAGACTCAGTCGATACAAAGACAGTAGCCATTGGTTAGCTACTGTTACTTGAGACGACAAAATATATACATAGTTTTGTTAACAACAATATTATAATCTAGTATTACAATATTTACTCTAACTCTGTGCTGAGTCCATCTTAATTATCTTACCTGCATACCAAATAACCACGGTAATATTATCATACAGTATTACAACTTCATACAAACGGACGAAACGCAAGCTATGCCTACGCGCCTCGATCGTGGCATGATACCTAACAGTCGCGACTGTGCCGCAGTGACAAACGGGCTGTGTGTCGTTCTTTTAACATTCAATTCAAGTACATATATAATATGGCGAGTAGGATATATTGTGCTGTTTTTGGTTGTATTTTTTGCAAATATTTTTGGTCACAAATTTATAAGCCCGATTTGATGTTCAAACAATAACATGTTTTTTAAAATTAAGTCTACCAAACAAAAAGCAACACGCATTTATATTGAACACTTCCTATTCCATATACGAAGTATTTTATTTGTTTGGGTAATAAAAGGACAAAACTAAATAGAAACAGAAAGAAGGCAAATGTAAATAAAATACTGTAGACGGGCAGCCCTAACGCACGTTTACGTACCGCGCAGCTGTAGGTATTTAACTCTGTCATACGGCCGAGTTATACTGTATAATATGATAATATTACCGTGAAATAACTGTGCAGACTTTACAACGGCACGTATTTCATCAAGTGAAAAACGTAGTACAACAATTAATTATAGGTAATAATATAATGGAGAATCTTGAAAAGGTACTGATAATAATACCTTAGTATTAAAAATAATGAAGTTATTAAAAATTCTACCGTTTGAAATCTTATGTAAGTAGTTGTAGTATATTTATACTGATATACATCGCTTTTTCTAAATCACATGATTAAATTCAGTTGATTCACAAGATAGGTTTCTATTCAGTCTGAGTTTTGATCAATATTGTACAATATATCTTACATAAGTAAGAAAAGACAATAAATACAATTTTATGATGACGCAGGAGGCTAAGTCGGCGTTGCAACTTTCTTAGTTTCTTCTGCTTGCTCTTTTTCCTTTAATCTCTCTTTTTCAATATCATTGAGTCTGCTAGCTGGGACTAAAACAATGCCACTCATACAAACAAACATTCCGGCCACGTAAAAAGATACATCATAACCAAGTTGATTTTTGAGAACCCCAGACAGTGGGGTGCTTATTAGACTTCCTACACCTTGAAACATTATCATAACACCAGTTGCATTAGTTAACATATCCAGACCAAACAATTGAACTATTACTATACTTCGCATAGAACTTAGACTGGCTATATGGAATCCAAAAAGTACGCATATTGCGTACTGATAATACAAATTGAACGAGAAATTAAATGCTATTACTGCTAATCCAGATATTAAACACACAATTGCATAAAGATTTACAGGGTTGACTTTCATGGCAATCGTACCTATAACCAAACGGCCACACGCATTTGCAAAACCCATGACACTTATAAATAAACTGCAATGTGTGGGATCTATTCCTTCTTGCAAGTTTCTATCTGGTAAATATACATAAGGTACTAAGAATCCTAAATATGTGAAGAATCCACTAGAGCATAGTAATAGAAAAGAACGTCTTTTCAATAGCTTTGGATCCATCATTGTAGCTAGAACTCTTCTTACAGCAGAAGTGTAAACTCCTCTTTTTTCTCCTAAATCTGCAGCGGTCACTGCACGTGTAACGGCCATCTGATATTCAAGACCAGTTCTTTCTTCAGGTGTGGTATCCATCATACTTTTTTGATAAACAGGTAACCTGTCCAAAGGACCCTCATAAAAAGCGTCATCACGATACATAGGCCTCGCTTCTGCTATATGCTGTTCCCAATGAAATAATTTCTGCCACCATTTCTGCGGCTTTTCTTTTTCTAAAATGACTAATTCTACTTTCTCAGCTGCTCCTTCTTTATCTTTTTCAGGTACACTTGTTCTTGACTTTGATACTAATGATTGCACTTTATTTAACTGTTTCTTACTCATTCCACTTTGCGGTCCTTGTGCTGTTACGATTAGCCTCGACGGAACAGCTGCATACGATGTTCCCGGTTGTCCTATTTGACCCGTTTGTCCCGCTTGGTCCGTTTGTTGCACCGCTACACTTTCTCCAATCACTGCCGCTGCAGTAGGAAAGTGCGCATTAGACACTGCGCTAAAGAGTCGTTCCGCTGCACTAGTCTTCATTTCATCCTTTTTCGTTTTAGATGGTGTTTTAATAGTACCCAAACTTGGTAAATAAGTTATTGTGCGTGTGCGTTCTGTGGTAGCAGTAGTAGTATCTGTTATTGGTGCTGTGGTTACAGTCAAAGATAGCAAAGGTTTAAAAGACATAGTAAAGAAGTATGTTGAAGCTACTAATCCAGAATGAAATAGCATTAACACACGCCATCCAGCCAGGTTAACAATATATGTGTTTACGCTAAACAGGACCATAATTCCTAAACTTGATCCAGTACTCGATATTGCCATTGCCAGAGAACGAAGTCGTTCAAAATAAAAGCCAACTATTAATCCCGACGGCATGCTACATAAACAAGCTCCAACGCCTCCAACAAGTCCATATAAAAATAGGACTGACATATAATCAGCAGCAAAATATGTCCCTAATAACCCCATGGAACTTGTTATTGAACCAGTCATGGCAATAGCTCTAAATCCAAATCTATTAATGAGGGCAGATACTAAAGGGCCTCCAACAAAATAAAGTGCCACTGCTATTGAATTTACAAGTGCTACCAAAGATTCGTCTACTGCAAGGTCATAGGTCATTTCTTTTAACACGCTGCCAAACGTGAAGTAAATTCCATCAAAGACGAAGATAGTCAAAAAACTGGCTAGAACAACGACCCATCCCCACCCTCCTTCAGTTGGTACTGATATTTGTGCAGTAATTTCTGTTTCTTCGACTCCCACAAGGTCAGCTGGATTGGTGGTACTGCCAGTCTTGCTATGTACTTTACTTGGTACTACTATTGTACCCTTTCTCGACTCACTCGTTGTGCTTCCACGATGCTTTGGTGACATTTTATTCTTCTTCACTACACATTCGAGTACATGATAAGTTTTACTTTTCTGGAGGGTGTTTTATCTTAAATTCTCAAGAATTTTAAAAAATAAACACAGAATTACTGTCTTTTATAACAATAAAAATGTCAAAAATCATCAACAACGATTTCTATATCTTACCCAAAGAGTAAGTATAGGGGTAATCTGACCATAGAATAATCAACGACGTTATAATTTTTAACATCCTTGAGTAAAGTATAATACCTATGATCTTACAATATAATGCAGCTCAAATATTCGTCATCATTCAAAAATTATTAGATCAACTATTTAAAAAAGCAGCTTAATACTCGGTATTCATGTATTTGAGTATTTATCTGAAAAATCGCCCATCAAAAGCCACGATAGAGACACATTTGCATAGCGCGAAAGGATGCGCCATAACTCCACTACCGCGAGGAATGGCGCAATTGATCGTCGGTAGTTTGCACCACGCCAAGGCGCGACACGACACGTTACGATCAGCGATTTTTCGGACAAATACTATATTCAAAATGTATAAATACCGAGTAAATAATGAGTATATATCCATTTTTACTCAATTATTTATAATTTTTTCTTGGTATTATTTAGCATTATTGCATTTTAAGTATGTTTAAGTATTTATCTGAAAAATCGACCATCTCTAGCCACGACACGCAGTGATACTGGACACGCAATATTTCTGGCAGTAGACAATAGAGTAGTAGAGCCATAGAATAGAGCTACTCTACCAATAACTGACACTGACAGTGATAGCTGACATTAAATTTGTAAGAATGACAAATAATAGCGCGCGACTTCTTGCCTATCGCCAACAGCACCAAGTGAAGTGCCAACGGTCGTTTTGGAGGGAAAAAGTGGTGTCAAAGAAACAGAATTAGTACAATTCTATTAGGAATTTATTTATCTTTCAAATAAATCATCACCACGATGTCGCAGACATCCATTACTTCATTTTTTCAGAGCAGGAAAAGGCCAGCATCTGAGGATCTTATTACTTCTAAAAGTAAAATACCACACATCGATCGCACTCTACCAAGTAGTAAATCTCTTTCAGAAACAAAATGTGAAACTATAGCTAAAGACTCTCTACAACCTACTAAATCTAGTGCGATTAAACATGAGGAACCAAAACAAAGCGCTATTCAGTATGCTTCATCAAAAGAAGAAACGAAACAAGAATCGATAGCGCCAAAAGCATTTGGTAAGAAAGTGAATGCCTCCAACACACCTAAAACCACCCAGGCGTCTAAAACCGAGATGACTGTGACTTCGCGTCAAGAATTAAGTCTTGGTGACATAAGGAAGAAACTAGCTGGAAGTTCGAGGTTAGCTGAGTTAAGAGCTACTGCTGATAGACTGAGCAAAGGCATAAAGGATCTGCAGCAAGCCAGTGAAAAACGTAACCTTCGAGAATTCAAATCTATTGATGTGGAAGTACCAGTGAGGTGTGTAATGATACCCATTTTCTACTATATACTATATTATAGTCTTAAGGACTGCAGCATACTCTTGCAATGCATTCCTGCAACTGAATATATCTCTCTTATGTAAACCAGGCAAGTTTAGCGATTAGATATTGAATAACCTGTAGGTCTTGTTTTGTTGTTAGCATTGAAGAGTCAAGGTGAAAGATTATGCTGCCTTTCTATGATTAACTATGGTATGGTTTACAAAGAGATAATGTTGGGTGTATACACTCAGAATAAAGATTTGTTGTGTATAATAAAACAGTGTTTGTTATTTTCTATACAATAATATCATATATTGTTTTATTTTCAGTCCCAGTAAGAAGGCCCAGCTTCAGCAGAACGAATTCTTATCTCCAAAGAAATGTATGCCAGCCCCAGCAACTCCACAGAGACCACTTATATCACCTAGAAAAGTGGTGGTCAGCCCTATCAAGAGTCCTAGCAAGGTTTGTATTCACTAATTAAATGTTTAAATACATCATTGTAATGCAAAATTTGTGTTAGATATCTCCCAGTCTCTTTGATAAATACAGAGTTAATGTGATTATGTACATTAACCCCGGGTACATTTGAATTTAGATATAATCAAGACAATGCATTATCTACTGTCTTATATTTATTGTTTTTATTTATTTAATTATATCAGGCAACGAAGGCCCATATTATATTGTGGCAATATAGAGGTGAAAGGAAGTAAAGTTGGAAATGTGTACAGTGTATATCACCATTTGCAGTATCTGCCATTGCCATTGCCATTCAGTCACATTACATGGTTTTGTATTAGCTTAAATTTGGCTTGTATGTGGTGTTAAATATTTTGTTTTATATTTCCAGGTCCCAGCATACATCAGACATGCGGCCCTTGCATCCACATCCAGCAGCTTACCTTTGCCTCACCACTACAGATTCTTGGCTGAACTGTTCCGCGGCATGGAGACTGTTGTTGCTTTACTTTACAACAGAAATGAAAAGATAACTTTTGCTAAACTCAGACCTTCAGTACAAGAGATGCTCAAGCGTTCATTTACTCAAAAACATTTGGCTCAAATAAAACATCTAGTACCTGATTTCTATAATTATGAAGTCCAAAAAGTGAAGAATTTCAGTGCCTCAAATCAAAAAGAACAATATGAATTATTGATCTCACCTAACTTCCCTAATGATATTAAAATCATGAATCCAACTGTACTTCTAGAGAGGCGTAGATACTTTTACGACATCTTGCTTCAGTTAGTAAAGAAACACCATGCACAATACTTGCAGACGCTTGACCCTCCAATGGTGATCCCTGATGATAAATTGACTCGTTGGCATCCTGAATTCGATATTGAGAAGATACCTGAGGTTGAGAGTGCAAAGTTACCTGAAATGCCAAATGTTGAAAAATTCTCAAGTGCTCAAGATGTTCTGGCCAAGGCGCGAGAATTATTCAAATGTAACACAAAGATGGAAAGAGCTTTAGAAAAACTCGCTCAGGCAAAAGCTCGTGGCCTCACACAGCAAGAAATGGCTGCAACTGGCATGACAGACAGCAAACCAAGTATTAGCATAAATGGTATGGCAAGTACCAGTACACAGACAAGTCAGCCTTCCACTAGTGCAGTTACTATAGTGAACCCCGCACTACGCAACCTACCCACCTCTCTATTGGAAAAGGTAAAAGCTAAACAAGCTGCCAAAGCTTTAGAAGCCATGACAAGATCATCTGAGAATGACAAAAAGTACTTGATTTACAGTCGTCTGCCAGATTTAGCACGTACTTTGCGAAATATCTTTGTGACTGAGAGGAAAAATGTTTTAGCTCTAAACATAATCCTCTCTAAACTGGATAGCAGCTTCAAAGCTAACATACCTGCAAGTGATCTGCAAAAAGATATCAAAGTGCTTACTGAGGAGCTGCCAGACTTCGTTAAGTTACATGAAATAAGAAACAACACTTATTTAAAATTAGATAAAAATGCTGACTTGCAGAAAAATCTGTCTAAGTTAGAAGCTTTAGCTGCAAAATATAAAAATGAGTAGTTAAGTAAAAAACTTGACAAACTAAGACTGAGTAAGTTTAAAACATATTTGTTAAATTATGTAGATTACTCGATCATTTTATTATAATTTAAGTAGTTTTTTTTATAAATCATAATAACAGTGCAACAAGTTACACAATATGAACTGTAACACTATGTATTAATTGGTAAATGTTCAAAAAACAAGTATTTGACCTCATTTCAAACCAAAAATATATATTGACATAGTTGAGTCTTGTAGATTTAAGCTGACATCTATTATATTTTATATATATTTTATTTATTTAATAATTATTCAAACCACCATTACTTCACATAATTTATTGTATTAACATGAACTGGACAACTGTGAAACCTTTGAGTTATTATTGATTTTAGTTAGTGTGTGTAATTTTTACTTTCTTTTTCTTTACTGTGTGGTATTCTTTCTTTAATTATATAAATAAAGGTTTTTAATTAAAGTATTTATCATGTTTATTGTTTGTATCACAATTGAAAAACTTATTGTGACCTATATAATGGGAATGACTTGATAATATTTAGTATATAAGTAGGGATGTTATATTGTAGCCGGCACATAATAAAAATATTCATGTAAAATGCGCAGATATAGGCACATAAAGGTAAATTAGACTGAAAAATCATATTATAATGTATGTTATCAATCCAAGAGTCGAATTAAAGACCCCTTTGTTCAGCACTCGACCAATGAGGCTAAGAGTGATATTTTTCTGTGGACGAGGCAGACAGTAATCATAATTGTATACTAATATTATAATAGTTGAAGTGTTTGTTAGTTGGTTTGAACACTAATCTCCAGAAGTACTGGTTCGAATTGAATTACTTTTGTCTTGGAGTCCTTTCATTGAAGAAGGTATAAGCCATACAACATCACGCTATGGTCAATAGGAGCAATAAACAATTTAAATATTACTTGTTTGCCACTCACTGCCATTGGACATTGCGTAAACTGGCCAATGACCGGTAAACTCCCACACAATTGCAAAAAATATAAGAGTAATTCAGCACTGCCCTGGTGCCCGTAGATAATCTCGACTACATGAGCGTTTGTGCTGCATACTGCAAATTCATTCCTTCAGCGTAAAAAAAACTAATTATTTTCCCAGTTGTTTGTGTAGTTAACTCAATATAGTCAATTATTTTGATAGGGATAGTCCAACAATATATAACGACGTAATCTATACCTACTTATAATAAATCTGTAGAGAGGTCAATTCTGTACATGAGCGAAGGATACTACTGTCAAAAATGCAATCAGTAAAATTTTTGTTTGTCTGTCTGTATGTTTCTTATAGAAACAAAAACTACTCGACGTATTTTAACGAAATTTCAACCATCGGTCCTACAGTTTCAGCGTAAAGTCGACAAACTTATTATTGCGTTTGGTACCTGTGTCTAGGAATTGAGCCGCACAATTAAGTTTGTTTTTTCGTGTATATACTTGTTCGGGATAAAAAGTACGCAGTGATGTGCCGTTTTTTTAAGGGTGGAAAATCATCGAATGACTGCTCCCGCCTGGGTGAGGCGGGAGGGAGCGTCAGACTGTTCTACGTCGAGCCGGAGCCCCAGTAACCCGTTAGGTTCTCCGCGACTCCGAATCGGCATCGGCCCTGTTGGGCCCCATCTGTGGTGGTCTGATGGCTCTTTGAGGCGCGCGCAGAGCGCGACGCGCCGTACGGTCGGTTCTGTTTGTGGTCGGACGGAGAATCACCCATGCTCGCCGTCCGCAGGCCCGCGCTTACGGTCGCCGGAGATCGCCCCGAGTTCCCCGATGCCTGGTGTGTCCTTCGCGATGGCTGGGTTGCGCGTCCCGCCTCCTGCTTAGCTAGCGTAACTGCTTCGCAAAAGGAGGAAACGGCATCCCAGTCCCCCTCGCTCCGCATAATGATGCAGGTCATGCCTACCTGCACTAGGTCCGTCCGCGAGAGGTCGCCATTGCCGATCACTTCCCTGAGGGCACGGCGGTATTTAGTCCACGCAGGGCATTTCGCCACAGTCTGTTTCACCGTGTCCTCAGGGCGGTCCTCGCAGTGATGACACCCGGGCGTTACCCCCCGCCCCATCAGACACAGGTACCTCCCGAAACTTCTATGTCCGGTGAGGACCTGCGTCAGGCGGTAGGTGAGGACGCCGTAGCGTCTCTCAAGCCACTCCTCAAAGAGGGGGCTTACCGCTGCAATGGCAGCGAGCCCAGTCCTCGGTTGCGACAGTCGTTCCTCCGCCATGAGATCGCGCCGGAGCTCTTCCCGCCACGCACTTATCTGGGGCGGCAGCGGAGTTTCGCCCCGGCGACGCACGTAAGGTGCTCGCGCGCATGCGATACAATACACGCGCGCGAGCACCTTCGCCTCCAGATCCCACGGCGGTAATCCGGCAAGGGCAGTGTTGTGCCTACAATATTAAAGTATAAATATACGAAGTTTCATCGTAATCAGACCGGTAGTTTTTGGGTTCGGTATTTACAAACACCCCCAGTATTATTTTTTTTTTAAATATTTTTAATGTACATACACAATTTACAATACTTCAGTTTTATCAGAAAGTGTGTTTGTTTGTTTCCCAGTACCTGCTTACGTTATGATTTTAGTGACTGGCGATAGTTAGAGAGTTGGAGAGTGATTTAACTAGGCTGTTTATTTCTTTTTGACCATGCAACTAAAACCGTGGTTGGAGAGCTAAGTTCCTAATATAATATTTTAATTTAAATTGAGGGCCCGTACACAAAACTGCGAATTTATTCACATCGCGCATCAAAACCTTATCTTTCCAAAATCTTCTCTTTTTTTTCCTGTATCTCCTAAGCAATAACAGAAGTGCACTCTTCTTTTTACGATCCATATCACGATCTATTTCAATTTAAAATACGTTTAGTACGGTTGACGGTCGTCGAAGGAATGGTCACCCTGGGAGACGCCTTGTCGCACGAAATCGCATCGCAGCAAATCGCATCGTAATTCTTTGCGTTGCGAATTCAAATCGGATCGCAGTTTTGTGTACGAACCCTAATAAGGTGGGTAGGTACCTAATAGGGTAGGTCGTAAGGTAGGTAAGTTAGATACCTACTGATTATAATAGATATTGCGCAATGATAATGTAAACTGTGCAATATGCATGGACATGATGAAATCACAAAATGATATATTTTTCAAGAAACTTAAATATTAGACGATTGTCGTAAAGTTAACGCTTTGTCAAACTAATGACGTGTAACTAGATATCTAAATACTTCATGTTTAATTTAATTATGGCGTAACACAGATTACATTTATTTATACAGATTTGAATTTCTTGAAGATAATAACAATATAATTGTTAAGATACGAATTGACTGGAATACTATACAGTCAGTGTATACATCGAATGACTGTGTATGAACACGAGTGTCTGTAATTAACATTTACAATACCTACCTACAGACATTAATGTCACAATTTGTGTCGTAGTCTATTCGTACCTTTATGTTGGGTAGCCATGGGATGACTACCTAACTAGTAGGATATTTCAAAAATATAGATAGAATAGAAATCTACACCCATTATTAGTTTTTTAATAATAAGTTGGTACCTTTCCATGTTCCTAGTTTTGTAAAATGTGCCCTTTTATTGTCGGCGCCAAACAAACAGTTAAAATACTATTAATTAAAAAAAAAACAAATAAACAGATGTTATATTTTTCACAGAGGCATGTGATCTCGTACTATACTACTAAACGGTAGGGACCGTTTAGTTTATGCTCGTCATCTGACTAAGAGAAAATTCATACATGTAATTTACAAACATGTAATATTATGAATGTAGATAATAATTTATCTGAATGGCTGAGACCGCCTTAATACTTTACTATCTTACAGAACTGTCTTCTTCACGATAAAAAATAAGTTCCTGGCTTAGAAAACTGCATGTCATTCTTTATTTTATCTCCTCGTAAATGTCTACGAGAAGCTACGCTTCTACGGCGTAGCAGTGTCCACCGTAGCCGTAGCGCGCGTAGTCACTTAAATTTAATATTTTAGATCTACGTGAATTTGATAATTATGTTATAACGTTTATATTTTACTATATTGTCAAAACATAAAACAATATTCCCTACTTTATATGCTTTAAACAGAAAAAATTGTATCAAAAAGTTTGACTTTCTACATATTTGACTAAGAAGTACTTGAGAATATCGTACAAAGAACAGTTTTTTTAATACGTAATACCGCAGTCCTATCTTTGAACTGGAACGTTCAGAAAATGATTAGCATAGCATAGTGCTTTCATAATAGGTAGCTACCACGTATCTATCTATATATATATATAATTCAAAGGTGATTGACTGACTGACTGACATAGTGATCTATCAACGCACAGCCCAAACCGCTGGATAGATTGGGCTTATGACGTAGGCATCCCCAAGTAAGGATTTTGATTATTTCCACCTCCAATGGGGTAATGTAGGGGATGAACGTTTGTATGAAGCTTTGTCAGTTTTACACCGATCGGGTTGAAATTCGGCGTGCAGATGGATATTATGACGTAAACGTCCCTTTAGAAAGGTTTTTGAACATTCTCACCCCAAAGTATGATACTTTGCCAGTTTTAAATTGATCGGGCTGAGACTTTGCATGCATAAATTTACTATGACATAGGTATCTCCTTAGAAAGGATTTTGATAAATTCCACCCCTATGGGGATAAAATAGGGAATGAGAGTTTGTATAAATCTTCTTAGCCATTGAATTTAGAATCATTGAATCTTTTTGAATTACATTCGGTAAAACGATGATTTGGGACCTGGGTAACGTTTGATAGTTTTTATCACAGATGTCCCACGGGAACGGGAACTATGCGTCAATGCCCGGGGACTGTCTAACTCTTAACCACTGAACTTATTTTAGAGAGATTCGGTACAACAATAGTCGATAGAATAGTTTTTATTACTCAAACCTTACGTGATTGGGCACTGTACTGGTAAGATCCCTGCGGGATTATTTATTTAT